CGACATTGAATCTGAAGTCCGGCTACTGGCAGGTGGAGGTAGCGGAGAAGGATAGAGAAAAAGCCTTTATTGTGCCAAATGGATTATGCGAGTTCCAAATGATGCCCTATGGGCTTTGCAACGCAGCAGCCACCTTCCAGCGTCTTATGCAGACGGTATTGCGTGGCCTATTCCGAAGCAATGCATTATCTATCTGGCCAATATTCTCGTTTTCGGGAAAGACATCAAACAACATAACTCCAACCTCCAATTAGTGTTGGATCGACTTCGGGAAGCAGTTCTGACCTTGAATCCGAAGAAATACACTTTTCTCCAAAAGTCGGTCACGTTTCTGAGACACAATTTCTGCTGACGGGATGCCAGTCACCAAAGACAGAACAAGAGAAGTAAGGACCTGGCCGACACCTACAAACCAAACAGAACTTCGCAGTTTCCTTGGTTTGGCTAACTATTATCGACGCTTTGTAGAAGTGTTTGCCAAGATCGAAAGTCCCCTGTACAAGTTGACAGAGAATCAGGCAAAAAAGGAGTTCCGTTGGGAGAAAGGACACACAGAAGCGTTTAAGGAGTTGAAGCGCGCCCTCTACGCCGCACCGATCTTGTCTTTACCAAACTTCAATGCCGAGGCCCCTGCTTTCGTGCTGGATACAGACTCTAGCGACGAGGCGGTTGGCGGAGTCCTATCCTAAAAAGACAAGGACGAGAAAGAACATGTGATCGCGTATGCCAGCTCACACCTCAGCAAAATGATGAAGCAGAAGAGTGCGACGGAACCGGAACTTTTCGCTATCTATACAATGGTCAGACATTTAAACACTACTTGATGGGAAGACAATTCGTTGTGAGGACAGACCATCAAGCGTTGAAATGGTTGAAAACAATTGAGATCGATCGTTCGGTTGCAAGGTGGTACGAGGAGCTGCAACAATATGATTTTATAGTGAAATACAGGAAAGGAAGCTCTCACGGCAATGCGGACGCGCTGTTACGGTGACCCTTGTCACCGTCCTCGGATGGCGACACAGTAGGTGAGCTTTTGCTGAGTGAGCCTACTTCTCGCTACTGGAGAAACACGCAGAGCTTCGACCCCGATAGAGTTTCGTCTATGGAAGATCAAGAGCGTCTTCAGCCAAGCCCACAGTCGAAGAAATGAAGTTGGCGAGCAAGAGAGCCAAGCAAATATGGCAGAACTGAAATAAACTCTCCCTAGAGGACGACGTCATGTGGTACAAAGACGATGATGAGACAGGTTCTAAGCGCCTCGTAGTACCCGGTTCCTTGGTGCAGCCATCACTGTTGGAATTGCATGAGCAACTTGGCCATGTGGGGACAGGAAGATGCTCGACGCCGCAAGGAAGAGGTATTGGTGGCCTTCGATGACATCGGACGTCCCTGATTTTTGCCGTGCATACATTACGTGTACGAATCTGAAGAACTCGACTAGCACGGCGATAGCTCCCCTGCAGTCGATGGCCACGGGCTTTCCTGGAGAGCGAATAGGCATAGACATTATAAGTCCCCTTCCACGACTCCGGGAGGAAACCGCTATATTTTGGTGATGGTAGACCACTTCACCAAGGTCGCGGAAGCCGAGCCTCTGCAGACGCAAGACGATGAGACAGTAATAACTGCATTTTTCAATCGTTGGATCTGCCACCATGGCGTGCCTGATTTCGTACATAGCGACCAAGGGGCAAACTTCGAAAGTTGTCTTTTCAAAGAACTATGCAAAGCCTTGGGAATCCGTAAGACGCGTACGACGCCGGGACACCCCCAGGGTAATGGGCAAGTGGAGAGAACAAATCGTACCCTCGTCGACTTACTGAAGGCCTTTACCAAAGAGATGCAGCCCGAAGATTGGGATCTATACCTAGGACGGGCTCTTCTTGCCCACCGAGCCTCTGCCCACACCTCGACTGGAGATGAGAGTTCCTTCGGACATTTTGCTTCCCCGTAAGAAACCGACAGGTGATAATGCGCTTCAGTACGTCTTACGACTAAAAGAGAACCTCAGGAAAGTTTTTGATGTCGCGCGCAGACAAGTGCA